TATTTTCGTGTTTTCATATTTAAGGATCATAATTTACATTTATATTGATAGGAGGTGGTGTCGAATCTGGTATAAAATTTCGTTCACCAAACGAATTCATTGATCATTTGTTATGGCTCGCATCCGATAAAGCTTCACCATGTGCTTGTAAATACTGCGGTGGTAAAACTTATTCTAGTAAAACAATGATAAAATCACAAGAACAAGGAAGATTCCGACGTGGAGAATTGGTTTGGGCTACTAAAGATCAGATCTTGAAAGCCGATGAAAAAGATACATTAGGTTATATCAAGTTTTGGCCGGCCGTGGTTATTGAGCGTATAGTTGTACCACCTCATGTCCTGTATACATTACAGCGAATTTCAGTGGATGGAACATTGAAGGTTCGCCAAAACAAGATTATGCCGTGGCTGGCACTTGATCCGGCGGATCTTACGAAACAATTTGGTAATCAAGACATGACAGATGATACTTCACTCGGTTCAAAATTTCTCAGAGCAGTCAATCATGCAAAGGAAATGGCCTCAATGTATATACCGATTATTAAAAATGAATATGCATTAAATTGCATAATATTTGGAGCCGAAGTGTTAAAGGTGAACGACTATGTTAGATTGACATATGAGAAACTTAACGATTCTGAAATGATGCAATTACCAGTGTTTAAAATCACATCAATGTCTTTAAATGAACATAATAAACTTGAGATGAGGGGTGACATGTTTTTGAAAATGCCCACGAATGGTACACCAGGAACAAAGTTGATTAGAACGAACACTGAACAAACAGAATATCCACTTGATTTGACGCAAATAGCTGGTCGATTCTACATGACTTATCCGAATATTACACGATCTGCAACACCAACTATACTTGGAACATTAACGGACAGGCTTAAAATTATACGACAAGAAGATAGATCTAAATTAGCCGCAACAAGTGAAAATCGAATCCGGAAGCAAACAGCAAAGAGATCTATGGTGATCGATTAGGAAATAGTCGATCTTTTGATTTGACTGACAGATCATAAATTTTTTCTTTTTTTTTGAACATATTCGAATATATTCTAATATATTCGATTATTAAATAGTCATGCCTGACACCATGCATCACTCGTATCATAGTTGCTATAATAATTGCCAATTGCATTTCACGTTATTCATGCGAATGCAAATAACGCGTATAAAATGAATATTCATTAAATAGTTTTAAGAATTTCAAACCTTAAAATGAAATCCAAATAACTTACTATTTGTAATTCTGTAGTATTAATGCTATGCTTGAAATTAAAATTTGCTTAAAATTGCATCTGTCTGAAATTAGCACTTGAAATTAGATCTTGCAGTATTACAAAATTTTTCGTAATAAGTTAGAATTTTGTTTTTTAATTAGATATACATTTATATAAAGATGTAATAATTCTGTAATTAAATTATTACATCTTTATAAATATATCAATATATATATAGTTATATAGTAATATTTTCTTTCTTTTCTTTGGCGTTTGCAGAAATTCCATATAACGAGCTGTTTGTCGCGAATAATAAAAACCTAAATAGTCGACACTGATAATTGAATAAAGAAAATAAAATTTAAATTTAACCATCTAATGGTTACGATTCAAGCTAAACCCGGCAATAAAAGTCATTAAGCTCTCCCGGAATCGTAACAAATGCTAATTTTAATAACGACAGTAATAAGCGCGCGCAGATGCAGTTTTAAAATTTCCAATGGATTCACTAGCCTCGATTAATGATAATGTATAATACTTTGTAGTTATTTAAGAAACAATAAATAATTTAGTGATGGATCATTTCAGAATAGAATTATATCGTTCACCTTTTTTTTTTATTTAATGGAACGCTCTATAGATGATTGATCACCAATCACCAATTCTAATCTAGATTAATGTACATTATGAGTGATATTTTATTATAAGATTTTATAAGATTATATTTAGAATTGATATTGTGTGTCCAGTTGTTTATTGTTGATTGTTTTGTCGCAACATTTCTTGCTTTTTTTTTGGCATAGCAATGCTTTTGCTAATTGTATATGATATGCAGAGCAGGCGATTCATTACAACAGCTGGTATTGGTGTATTGGCGCATTTTATATAAAACTATGTATGTTTTGCACTAAATATTATTCTATCAAAACTATATAATAAGCTACGTATATACTATATATTATTATCTTACTATTGCAGGTTACATAGATGTAGTTCTTCTATATAATACGTGACGCCAAGGGAAAACCAGACTTCGGATTTCCATCCCTAATCAGAGACATGAGACATATATGGACGTAAGTAAGTTTACAGCTGTTTTCAAAAAGGTGTGAACAACGATTTCCATATACATATGTGGGAATCAAAGAACTGGGAAATTATCATTAGTAAAAATTGAAGATCGGATTAGAGCTGGCTTTGAAAGTTTTGGAAATCTGGGTAGTTTCGTGAATTTCCCGTGATATAGTTATTGGCGTCTGTTCACACCTTTTTGAAAACAGCTATAATAGGACTGGGTGAAACCCGAGTTGTAAATTAGTAAAATCAGCTACGTAGATCACGTTAGGGTGAAATTCTTGCTTAGCTATGTTTTTGTCCGGAGCGTAGCGGAGGACCCTTAGTTTTTATGCAAAGTGATACAAAAATTACGTTTTTGATGCATTTCGCCCAAAATTAGTGACTTTTTTAAAAAACGTAATTTGGAAATTTTTTGTCTGTCCGCCGCACGCGTGTTCAAATTTGTGTTTGTGCAATTAGATGATCATCATATGATATTGGGGTAATTTATATACTAATTAATCAAATCTATGTAAGCATCAATAATAATATTACTATGGTTAGATTTTATGC